CCCCCCCCCCCCCCCCCCCCGAACGAGGGTGAAGTGGGGGGGAATCCAGGGGCACTGCTGGGCTTCAGGTCAGTGCAGCATGACCCTGGAGGAAGCAAGGAGGAGCTGGGAGGGGGTGGGGATTGCCTCAGTGATGGAGAGTAGGGAAGGGTGGGGGTGGTTCTGTGAAGGGAAGGGGTGTGTGTCTGCGTGTGCATGCATCTGTGCACACATCTGTGCATCTGTGTCTGTATCTGTGTGCATGGATTTCTGTGTGCGTGCATGCATGCGTCTGTTCATGGCAGCTAGAGTGTATTTGGCGCTTGTGTCCACGTGCAGCGAATGTAGAGCGTGCACTTGTCTGCATGTGTGTCTATGTATGCGTGTGTGCATCCATGTGTCTGTGTTTGTGCAAGTGTGTCCATGCATGCATCTGTGGTCATGGCAGGGAAAGTGTGTTTGTCTCTGTGTGTCCATGTGCAGCGTAGAGTGCACACCTGTCTGCATGCGTGTCTGTACATTTGTGTGTCTGTGCATATGTGTGTGTCTGTGTTCATGGCAGGTAGAGTGTATTTGGCTCTGTGTCCATGTGCAGAGCATGTAGAGTGCATGGTTGTGTGTGTGTGTGTGTGTGTGTGTGTGTGTGTGTGTACGTGTCTTTGCATGTGTGTCTGCATGCATGCCTGCATCTGTGTTCATGGCAGGGTAAGTGTGTTTGGCTCTGTGTCCATGTGCAGAGTGAGTTGAGCACGCACCCTTCTGCATGCGTGTATCTGTGTGTATGTGTCTGCATGCCTGTGTGAATGTGTTCATGGCAGGAGGGTGTGTTTGTCTGTGTGTCCAAGTGCAGAGAGGGAGCAGAGTGTGCACGTCTGCGTGCATGTCTGTGTGCATGTGTCTGCTCATGGCAGGGAGAGGAAGTTTGTGTCTATGTGTCCATGTGCAGGGAGTGAGTGATGCCCCTCTGTGTGCACACCTGTGTGTGTGACTGGCCATAGGTAGCAGGGAGCCGAGGCTGCATGTATTACCTCCCCCTGCCCCCCAGCAGCAGAAGGGGAAGGGGTCCCTCCATCCCCCTGCCACCACCCCCCATAGCCCAGCTCTTGTGGTGCAGGCGGCCTCCCATGTTGCGCTTCCCCAGGGTGCCAGTACATGTTAATCTGCCTGGGAGGGGGGTGGAGCAGGGCTGGAGCCGGAGCGATTGGGGGGGGGCCGCACACAGCAGGACACAGAGCTCCATCCCCACCCCCCCCTCAGTCTTGACAGCCAATTTGCTAGTAAATATATAAAAGGGGGGTGTATACGTTGATATGGGGGGTTGTATTGATATAGTGGTGTGAGGGGCTGTGTGTGTGTACGTGCAGATGTGTGCACATGGTGAGAGAGAGCTGGCAGTGTGTGTCCAGCTGGCAGGCAGCCCAGGGAGGGGTGGCATTAGGGCAGGGCGTGGGGGCTGTGCCCTGCCCCAGCACCGGGATGCTGGGAGCGTCTGCCTCTTCAGAAGACTGAGGGCAGCAAATTGGGAGCAACTGGGCCTTAGTGCCGTGGGATGGGGCTCAGGGAGGCATGGGGGGATGGGCTGAGGACTGTTCCAGGAGGAGGCAGGGTGCCGTGCGGGCATGGACCCCCTCTTGGGCAAGGGCCGTCAAGGCTGCCCCCCTCCCTCCTGCTGGCCTTCCTCAAGGGCAGGTCCTGCGCCCGGCCCAGGAGCTCTGCTGTGCTCTGGCTTCTCTCCCCTGCTCCCCGCAAAGGGTGCGGCAGAGCTGCCCCAGTGCCAGGCGTCCTCAGGCCAGGCCTCCAGCCCAGACCCACCTTGCGCGGCTGCCGAGGGGCTCCGTGAAGGGAACACACTTCGCCACCTCCTGTGCCCTGGATATGCTGCATTCACCTCCCACCACCCGTTCAAAACAGAGACCGCACGAGGCAGGAAAGAAAGATGCCGGACTCAACTGGGACGCATTGCCAGAGCACATCGGAGCCGCCTTCCTGCGCAGGGAGCTCCTACCAACTACAGGCCCCATCACAAGTGCTTGGCAGTGGTGGGGCAGCCCCTCCCCAACTTCGCCTGCCCTGCTGACACCCTCTGTCCTTAGGGACGTACCCCAGTGCCCACTTACTGTACCCGACCCTTCCCTCGGTGCCAGGCAACCAGACAAGGCGAGGACCCGCTCGTACTAGAAACATCATTTATTGACTCAGCGCCTGCCCTAGCAGCAGGACAAGCCCTGCTGCTTTGTCTGTCAAGGAACCTTACAAGGGACGGGGCTGAAGACACTCGCGAGATTGGAACAAGGGGCTGATGGGGTAGAGCCGGGTGCTCTGCTCTGCTCCAGCCAGAGGACTGGCACCATCTGGAGGGCGACATGGTGCCGGGACAGGCGGGCTGCTGCGTCGTGCTGTTCCTGTGGCTGCGCGCATGCCATATGGCTTGGAGACAACAGCGTTTAAATGGGTTGGCTGGGCCCTTGCGGGCCGGCCAGCACCACCCGTTTCAGGGGACACCAGGTGAGGCCCCCAGACAGGAATTGAGCCTGCTCGCTGCCTTCCACTGCTCCTGCTTCTGTGCTGGAGGGAGGCGGCTGCAGCCACCGACGGCGCCCGGCCCTCTTGATGAAACGGCAGCCTGGCAGGCTGAGACTTGCAAGGTGCCGGGGACGGACAGAACAAGCCTTTGCCACCAGGTGGTGACAAAGATGCAGCAAACCCAGAATGTGCGACATTGTCTGCGTGGGAGGGCTGCAGCGCCAAGGCGGGAGGTGGCTGAGGAAGGCAGAACGTGGGGCCACATACAGGGGACACCCGCGCCGCGGGGACACGCAGCAGTGCACACCCGGGAGCTTTCCTGCACACGACGGCGGCTAGGACTGGCTGGTGCGGAGCTAGGGCAGAGGGGGCTGGGCAGGATCCTTTGCAAACCGTTCTGTCTGCTACTGGCCCCATGGCAGCCGGCCCCCGGCCTCCCCCCACGACCACCCCAACTCCCAAGTGTTCACAGGATGCTGCGCGGGTGAAAACCAGACGGGCGCGGCCCCAGGGGACTAAGAAGCCCTGGGGTGTAATGGGTGCAGCAGCTGGCGACACAGGCCAGCGGCATCCCGAACCGTCTGCACTCTTGGGCTGCGGGTCCCCGGCAGGCACCAGGAATTTGGCTCGAGTGTTCGGACAATTTCTGAAGGCGCCTGCGAAAGGATCGCATCCCCCCTGTCGCCCCAGAACCCACCATGGGAATCTGCTCCCCCTCCCTGCTACAGTCACGCTTTGTCTTCAGAGATGCTTCCGTTTGTCCTGCCTACTCCTCCTCCTCCTCCTCCTCTTCCTCCTCCTCGTCATCATCCTCATCATGGCAATGTGTGATTTCCTGTGGGGTCTGGGGGAAGAGGTTGGGCGGCTTGATCTCGCTGATGGAGCGGGTCAGCTGGTGCCGCTTGTAGTCGGAATCCTTGAAGTCCACCGAGGTGCGGTTGCGGGTGGCCATGGGCGACTCCTTCTCGTTGATGTCCACATGCGTGTGCTCCACCGTCGACTCGTGCGGCATCTGCGCAAACACAAGGCAGAGGAGGGGCTGTCCCACAGGCAGAGCTGCTCAGGACTGCAGGCGCTTGCAGGAAACCGTTGACAAATACGCAGGCTCGCACTTGATCCCACACAGGCCAGCAGGCTGGGTGTGGGGCATTATAGAGGTAACAGGAGAAACGTGAAGGGCCTTTGGGCTGGAGGAGCAAATCCCCGGAGCAAGGATGTGCTGCAGCAGGCCTCACTCTGCTCTCAGGCACTGCCTCTTCTGGGGCAGCAGGGATGCTCTTGGCACCCAGGACAAATCAGGCCTGTGCCAATAACGTAAGGACAGGGCAGATGCCAGCCCAAAATGGAGATGACGCCCTTGGCTAGGTCTCCTCCCTGCAAGGTAGCGCAGCCCCAGCTCTGCGCTGCTCTAAACACAAGTCTCAAGGCCCTAAAATCCCTTTTGCTCTGCACCACTATCTTCCTGCCCTGCATCCTCCCCTGCCCACCCAACAGCCCCGACTGCAGTCTGGCAGGGGCTGTGAACACTGTCCTGAGTGGCCAGTGGGGTATCATCTGCTCCCAAGGTGACATCACCTCCACAGGGAACTCCAGCCCTGAGCTGCCCCAGGAGACTGGAGCGCAGGCTCTGCGCTGCACACAAGCGCTGATGTCCTCGAGGCCTTCCCAGCACCTGTCCCTGCCAGCGCCGCCCACCAGGCACTTGCCTGCCAGGCTCGCTGCTTTTTTCTCCATGGGCTACAACTCACCAGCACATGGGCGGCTCTGAAGAGGTAGCTGAACGGGTAGTAGAGGAGGTTGATGAAAGACGCCGCGTAGAGGTCTGCGTAACGCATCACCTGGCTGGCAAAGAGCGTCTGGCGCGAACCGCTGCGGAAGAGGCTTCCCATCATCCCGTAGCACATGTCCATGTCGTGGGTCACTTTCTGCAAGCAATGGGCAGATGGAAGGCGCAAGCTCAGCCGTGGGGGCAGAGTGGGCAGGAACTGGGATTGCCAAGGGGGAGTCTCAGAGCAGTGAGCACGTCACAGACCCCTGGGGCTCTAACATCTGGGCACTGGAGCCCGTGACCCTGCACTGGGCTGAGCTCTCATCTAACTGGGGCTCTGATGATCTGGACTGGGAGAGACGACTCCTCCCCACAGACGCTCCAGGGAGCAGCAAGGCTGAGCCACTGGCTGGCACCTCTGAGTCGGCACCGAATCCCTGCCAGGGCTGGAGCCAGGGCCAATGCCTAGAGCAAGCCAGATTCATAAGAGATGTACTAGCCCAATACCCAGGGACAAACTTCACGACAGAGCCTGTTGGGTTCCTGGCCAACAGCCTGCACGGGGCTGCAAAGCACTGCCCACTTTTTGGTGCCCTGCTCCAGAGCTGGGTCCCCGCAGGAAAGCCCTAGGGATCCTGTGGTGGGGGGAAGGTGTTTTGCAACTGATACCTTGATGCGTCTCTGGATGGAGCTGATGTCCGGGCGCTCATTGCTGCTGCTGTCCAAGTGCCTGGTTACCAGAGAAAGAGCAAACAGAAAGGTCTGAAAGGCCTGCCGCGCGGGGGGCAGCTGGGGCGGGGGCTCTGCAGGGATCTTGTTCAGAGATCAGAGCAGGATGGTCCTGTGGTCCGTGCACAGAACTGGGAGAACAGATGCCAGG